CGTTACGTCTGCTACAACACCAGGTCTCGTTACGTCTGCTACAACACCAGGTCTCGTTACGTCTGCTACAACACCAGGTCTCATCACGTCTGCCACGGCATCAGGTCTCATCACGTCTGCTACAACACCAGGTCTCGTTACGTCTGCTACAGTCCCCGAGACCTCCACGTCATTTTCAGCAGAGCTGAAGGGTTCCAGCCCCGCCGAGCCAAAGGGGTCCTGCTTCGCCGAGCCCTCTGTTCCCAGTGCTCCCTGGGACGAGACCACTTCCTCTGCTCTCTCAGCCTCGTCTCACAGTTGTCGTCGGAGGAATGCGGCTGCAGCCTCAGGGCAGGTTACGACTGCCCCACCTCCCTGCTTCATCAACTCATCGGGTTGTTTCAGCACCCCTAGAGGGGAGGAAGCTGCAGCATCTGGTTTTGTGTCACCTCCATCATCAGCATCATCATCTTCATCATCTGGTCCTACTCCTGAGTCTGAGCCTTCAGATACCCAGCCTTCAGAATATCCAGAGTATGCAGAGTTCGAGTGTCTCGAGTATCCAGAGTTCGAGTGTCTCGAGTATCCAGAGTTCGAGTGTCTCGAGTATCCAGAGTTCGAGTGTCTCAGACTGAGTATGCAGAGTTCGAGTGTCTCAGATTGAGTATCCAGAGTTCGAGTGTCTCAGACTGAGTATGCAGAGTTCGAGTGTCTCAGACTGAGTATCCAGAGTGTGAACCAGAGCACGATCCAGATTTTGATCCTGAAGATAACCCCTTCTGTACAGAATACTACGACTACTCACCACCACCATCTGAGTTCCAGTCTTCAGAAGGTCCCGACTTGCCTGTTCCAGACTCAGTCCCCTCTGCACCCGAGTCCTCAGTCCCCTCTGCACCCGAGTCCTCAGTCTTCGAGTCTACAGAGTCTTTAGTCCTTGAGTCTTTAGTCCTTGAGTCTACAGAGAACGAGTCTACAGAGATCGAGTCTACAGAGATCGAGTCTTCAGAGTCTACAGAGATCAAGTCTTCAGAGTCTACAGAGATTGAGTCTTCAGAGTCTACAGAGATCGACTCTTCAGAGTCTACAGAGATCGAGTCTTCAGAGTCTACAGAGATCGAGTCTTCAGAGTCTACAGAGATCGAGTCTTCAGAGTCTACAGAGATCAAGTCTTCAGAGTCTATAGAGATCGAGTCTTCAGAGCCTACAGAGATCGAGTCTTCAGAGTCTACAGAGATCAAGTCTTCAGAGTCTATAGAGATCGAGTCTTCAGAGCCTACAGAGATCGAGTCTTCAGAGTCTACAGAGATCAAGTCTTCAGAGTCTATAGAGATCGAGTCTTCAGAGCCTACAGAGATCGAGTCTTCAGAGTCTACAGAGATCAAGTCTTCAGAGCCTACAGAGATCGAGTCTTCAGAGCCTTCACAAGATCCAGACTCATCGGCCCCAGTCTCTGCTCACATGTCATCAATTCATGTTCCAGTCTCTGCTCACAAGATTTTAGTCTCAGATGCAGTCTTTGAGTCATCAGTTCCCATCTCTCCATCATCATCATCAGTTCCTGAAACCCCGGGTCTGATTGTAAGGTCCCCAGGTTAACCCAAGTCTCCAGAATCCCCAGGTGGGATGGTAAAGTCCCCGGGTCAGTCCAAGTTTCCTGAGCCAGAGCAAGCACCCGAGTCTCCTGAGCCAGAGCCAGCATCTGAGTCTCCTGAGCCAGAACCCGAGTCTCCTGAGCCAGAGCCAGCATCTGAGTCTCCTG